GCAATTCTCCTGCCTCAGCCTCCTGAGTAGCTGGGATTACAGGCACGTGCCACCATGCCCAGCTAATTTTTTGTATTTTTAGTAGAGACGGGGTTTCACCGTGTTGACCAGGATGGTCTCGATCTCTTGACCTCGTGATCCACCCGCCTCGGCCTCCCAAAGTGCTGGGATTACAGGCTTGAGCCACCGCGCCCGGCCGGTCCTAGACTTCTTAAAGCAAGTCCTTGGAACTCTATAAGGTCTTGTCTGGTTAACATTCTGAGCCATCAGAAAGGTGAAGTTCTACGAAACTCCTCTCTCTGATTATTTAATTATTTTATTTAGTGTTAGGACCTCAGAGAGGTCCATCTTCCTTGTTTTACCGAGATGGAGTATAAGGATTGGGGACAACAGGACCAGGCTGGTTTATAGCAAGGCGAGGAGGAGAAGCTACGTTCCACAATTCCAGTCAGTACTTTTCTACTGGACCAGAGTCTCAAGCTCTGCGGCCCACCAGAACCATTTGGGGAGGATTTTCCTTTTGTTTTAAAACCAGTTTGCAGGCCCTAACCTCAGAATTTCTGATTGAATTACTCTGAGATACGGCTTCCCCAGTGATTAGCAGATTTTCAGAAGCAGTATTCAAGTGCGCACATGGTATGCGTCAGGTACGGTGCTAGGTGCCTTAACATATGGAATTCTTATATCCAGTGAGGTCTATGCCACGACTTCCATGTTCCAAGTGAGGAGCTGACCTTCAGAGAAGTTACATAATATACTAAAGTCACCCAGCTACTAAAGGGCAAGCCAGGGCTTGAATTCATGTATGTCTGACCTAAAGCCCAGACTTATGCTGTTTAAACTTCTTTGCTTAGCAGGTAATATTCAAAGCCAGGAGCTACTCATCTTTCTGACTTGTCAATTCTACTTAAAATATATATATATTTTTAAACCTGAATATGTCATGTCGTATTACAATTCAAATCTCAGCCTGTCACCGCTGGTGTACCTTCAAGAGGCTAACTCACCTCTCTGGGCTTCATTCAGTTCCCTCCTCCCGGTACAACGGGAGGTGAGAGCCGAACTCCTGTGTTTCCAGGGCAGCTGGAGGTGTCAGAGGTGTGTGAACAAAAGCAACTCTATCTTGAATAGGAGCTGGGTAAAATAAGGCTGAGACCTACTGGGCTGCATTCCCAGATGGTTAGGCACTTTAAGTCACAGCATGAGATAGGAGGTCAGCACAAACACAGGTCATAAAGACCTTGCTCATAAAACAGGCTGCATCAAAGCAGCCAGCTAAAACCCACCAAGAGCAAGATGGCTACAAGAGTGACCTCCGGTCGTCCTCACTGCTACACTCCCACCAGCGCCATAACACTTCACAGATGCCATGGCAACGTCAGGAAGTTACCCTATATGGTCTAAAAAGGGGAGGCATGAATAATCCACCCCTTATTTAGCATATCATCAAGAAATAACCATAAAAATGCGTACCCAGCAGCCCTCAGGGCTGCTCTATGGAGTAGCCAGTCTTTCATTCCTTTACTTTCCTAATAAAGTTGCTTTCACTTTACTATATGGACTTGCCCTGAATTCTTTCTCACGTGAGATCCAAGAACCCTCTCTTGGGGTCTGGATTGGGACCTGTCTCCTGTAATGGAGGAACTGGTGGGGCACAGTATTCCCAGGGCTATCTGAGAGCCCAGAACACAGACAGCAGGCCTCTCATGTGTGCTGTAGTTACAAACGTCCTCATCGGCACCACCATCATCCAAACACCCAGAGTGGGGGCAGCAGGACCATCTGTGGCTGTCCAACATTTCAGTACTTCTGAGCCAACCACAGGCTTCCCAGGGCACATCACAGGCAATGTGGACCCTGTGAGTGCTGGGCACCTAGGAGATGAGCCCACAGCTGCAGTCTCCTTCCCAGGACAGCCCCTCATACCGAGGGCACCACGGTCAAAAGGGCAGGGGCACTCCCTGGGAAGGTGGGATCACCAGTAGCGCCCCAGCACTGCTCAAGTCCCAGCAGCCAAGACTCAGGGAGCCCTCTCAGTGCCAGGCCAGCTCTACCCCTGAGCTCTCTACCCTCAGGAGAAGGTGGCAACTCTGGAAACTTCCCCACTTCTCAGCAGAATCTGGGACTGCCTCAACAAGCGCCGTGCAGAGAACCTAGAAGACCAACCCCCCATTTTATTCCAGAAAGTCTGAATTTGCACCACTTCATTAGCCTTCAGTCCTCGAGCGCGGAGAAGGGGTCGGGGCTCAAGAATCGCTCACTGAGCATGGCTCCCAGGGGCAGGGGCCGGGGCCAGTCCAATGCTGTACCCAAGTACCTTCTCGGGGCCTGATAGCTAGGAGGCGTTCACATATGTATTACTTTAATCAACAAAGGAATGCAATTATAGCAATAATAAAGGATTTTCCTAAAGAAAAAGTCCCACCACCCATAACTCATTTCAACTCTAGTTTTCCCCATCTGCATGCATATCATCACATATTTACAGCACTATAAATGCCACATACATGCAATTTTACATACTGTGTATCTCCCTTGGTGTGATACTGTGAATATGCTCATGTTCTCACCCAGCCTCTGTGATTGACATGTGTGTGTGTGATGACCCACCCATCATGTGCTGTGCCACGGTCTGCCAAA